AGGAATCTCCTCTGCTTCAACACCCTCAAAAGCATCTGCACTTATGTTAGGGACAAGGGAAGCCTCCCTTAACTGCTGTCAGATGGATCAAGCCTTCGCCAAGTTTGGTACTAAGATGCTGAAACACTGCTGTAGCCACCATTGCAAGGCTGTTCAGAAATAAAGCATTTCAGAAAAGAGCAGGAAGCTTTTGCAACAGATTTTCATTAATAGCACAGAACACCTCCCCTATGAGGACAGGCTGAGAGAGCTGGGGTTGTTCAGCCTGGAGGAGAGAAGGCTCCAGGGAGACCTTACAGCAGCCTTCCAGTACCTAAAGGGGGCCTAGAGGAAAGATGGGGAGGGAGTCTTTAGCAGGGAGTGTAGTGATAGGACAAGGGGTAATGGCTTGAAACTGAAAGAGGGGAGATTTAGATAAGATATTAGGAAAAAATTCTTTACTGTGAGGATGGTGAGGCAGTGGAACAGGTTGCCCAGAGAAGTTGTGGATGCCCCATCCCTGGCAGAGTTCAAGGCCAGGTTGGATGAGGCTTTGAGCAACCTGGTCTAGCGGAAGGTGTCCCTGCCCATGGCAGGGGGGGTGGAACTAGATGATCTTTAACGTCCTGCCCAACCCAAACCATTCTATGATTCGGTGATTCTAACATCTTGTATGTCCTTACTGAGATAAGGGACCATAACCACTTATGAACAGCAATTGGACTTTTTAAGCTGTAGGCTTGAAACAGGATGGATAGTGAGAGGAAGGAAGGAAGTGCCATCAGTCCTGTTTTATAGCTGGAGAGACTTGAGAAATGCACAGGCTCATCCAGGATCTCAGCCATAGGATCATTGGACTCAGATTTTAGGGACCCCATGCAGGAATTTAAAGAATTTCTCCCTCAAGAAGGAACAGTAAAACAATTTCAGGAGCAAGGGGTACGCTGTGAAGAGCCTGTCATAAGGCACGTAGAGACAGCTTTGGAATGAAGATGGTTTTTACACACTCAGCCTGATGGTTGTCGAGGGCCAGGCCAGTGGTCACAGGAGCGAGCTGAAGCAGGAACTCTAGTAGAACTTTTCCTCTGTGTATGAACAATTGGGGGAAGCTCTGCTGTTTTGAGGAATTTCCGAGGACAGTAAATTACATGCTAGATCACAGCTCTGTTATGTTTTTGGGGAAGGCATTTGGAAATTAATGTTTCGAATTACAATTTAAATGGGGAATACATACAGCTCTGCTACTCACAGACATCCTCAAACCTGGCCTGCCACAAGATTTTCTCTCCTGTTGAGGTGGGTTTAAGTAGAGCCTGGGTTGACAGCAGCCAACTATGTAAGCAAACCCTCGCTACTACTGTGTTTCTGTTCTTGCTGCCAAACAAGGATGGTGTTAGCTGTCCCTACTTCACAGGGATTTTAGAGAGAACCTGGGGCAGGAATAACAACTCATCAGTGCTTGCGCTAACAGCCTGATAAAGTGAGAGCTGTAGCAACACCTAGAAGGCAAATGAGACACAGGTCCCCTTTCAGCCAGAAGGAAGGATTTCAATGCCAGGAGTGGTCAATTTTAGGTGACCTCTTCCTAAAATAAATACTACTTTGTGTAAATCAGCTGATTGAGATGACACAAGGGGGTTAAAGTTTTTTTTTCTGGGCTGGGAAAGCCTTCTGTTTATTCAAAAGTGGTCCATTAGAAGGTGTCTAAAAGATAGGCTGGATATCCTGTTGTGGTGGGTTGACACTGCCCTGCAGCTAAGCACCCACACAGCCACTCACTCCCCACCTGCCAGCAGGATGGGGGAGAGAATAGGAAGAGGAAAAAGTGACAAAGCTAGTGGGTTGAGATATATACAGGTTAATAAGGGAAAGAAAGAAGAAAGGAAAAGCAAGTGATGTGAAAGCAATCACTCACCACCTCCCACAAGTAGACAGATGCCCACAAGTCTCCAAGCAATGGCCACCTTGGAAGACAACCCTGACCCCCGCCCCTGTTTTTTATTGCTGAACATGATGTTATATGGTTTGAAATATCATTTTTGTGAATTCGAGACAGCTTTCCAAGCTGTAACCCCTCCCAACCCCCAGTCCACTCACTATGGAGTGGGAAAAAGAAAGCCTTGATGCTGTGCAAGCACTGCTCAGCGATAGCCAAAACATTGGTGTGCTGTCGACACTGTTTTAGCCACAAATCCAAAACACAGCACCTTATGGGCTGTTATGAAGAAAGTTAACTCCATCCCAGACAGACCCAGTACACCCATCTTGTTTGGCTTGCTCAGGTGGGACTTATAATGGAGAGGGGAGGGCTTTGGGGCAGAATTCATTACAGGCTTCCATGGATAAACTGAAGTTTGGAGAAAATATATGGGCTGAGAGCAGAAATGATGGATTAAGGTTACAACATCCATGTCATGTCATGGGATGGTTTTGCAAGTGAAACCTCTCTTACAGGCCACCACTGTAAGCAGACAAGCCCTCAGAATAGGCTGCAAATGTAGTCAAAAATTCCTTAACAAAGTCCACTGGTGCAGCATTATAACATGCAAATATAGCACTGTAATTACTAGACAACCTGCTACAGTGGCTTAGCTGCTCTGCAGGAACTGCTTTGTCTTGCAAAAAACATGGAGCAGCTCATTCCTCCATCAGAGAGAAACGTGCCATTGCAAATCATCTTTTGCAAGCTCTTTCCCATACTCCCTGTTCCTGCACACCCACCTTGTGCCTTCCATCTCACCCACATGCCTAACACAACCCCTCCAGACCACCGTAGGGCCACCACCACAGCCCCGCAGGTTCTGCCCTCGCCCAGCGCTGGCTCAGTCCTCGGGCAGGACGCTGCCGAGCACAGATAAGGGGGACAAGCTGCTGCTTCGTTACTACACGCACCAGGTGCTGGATCAGATTAGTTGATGGGTGGTAACTGCCCATAGGCAGGCTGAGCAACATGCAAGATTATTTGAGAAAAAAACTCTGCATAATCATGAAATTACAGTGGATCAGCTCCCAAATGGCAACTGGACACCTCTTTGAGGTCACAGCCCTAAGAAACTGTTCCATGAAAAACTGGAAATGGTTTTCCAAAATGAGTTTGGTTTTACTGTAGATTCATCCCATTTGGTCTTGAAAAGCCATGATTCTTACACAAGGCTGAGATTAATTCCAGCAGCAAATCATTTCAGTTTCAAGTGCAAGTACATTCAATTTACAATGTGCAAATATAGCCCCAAAACTAACGATGCCTTCATGGATGATGCTATTCACATCCATGCTTGCCTACTGTAAGCCCTTGTTTCTTCTGGCAAACTGTGAATTGCAGCCATGAACGGTGGCAGCAGCAGGGAGGCTTTCTTGATCAAGATGAATGGGTTAAAAAAGGAACTCGAGTAAGGGCTGCGCTGGTCTTTTGTGTTTTAACAATGAGAGGAAGCTCTGCCTAGTTTGAGGAATTTCCCACGTCTTCAATTGAGACTTTGGAAAACTGCTTTATTAAGCCTGTCTAAGAGGTGTTAAAAAAATAAAAATAATCAAGACGCTTAGGACAAAGATATCTTCCCAGAGCCTACGCATGTTCTGTTTGTTTGTTTTTTAAACCTGGATCACCGGAGGCGAACTCAGAGGAATCTAGGGAAGTTAAATAATGACAAATGCCAAATACTCACACAGGGTTCCTGCTGAGTTGGCTGAGCCATTACTGAATTCAGTCAAGTGTCACAGCTACACAGATGCTAAAGATTTGCTCCTAAATTTCCTTATGTATCAATTCGTTCTGCAATGTTGCCAGACATCGAAAGACAGATAAGGTGACACAAATAGATGAGGAATTTTCTGGGTGAGAGGAAGATCTACAGGTTGAGAAATGCCATTTTAACCATGCAACAGCAAGTGATGGAGCAAGGAGAAAAGGAGCCTCCGGCTTTCAAATTCCCAATGTCCTTTCCCTTGCTATTCCCTTGCCTGTTACAAGCTCATCGCCTCACATAAAACTGTCACTGAAAGCAAGTTACAGCATTCAAACAATAACAGTTTTCTTCCCCAAATCTGAAAGCTCATTATGCACGTAGGTGAGCATCACTTTCCCACTGACAAGGAAAGAGAGAGTTTTTTCTGAATCATGATCATTTAAGCAACCAGTGGATACTGCTGCATCGGGATGTTTGGATGGAGCAGGACTTTTGGGTTTATAGACATCAATGGAGGTGAAAGCATCAGAAAGCATCTTTGTATCCCCCTGACACTGAGCACTGGCAACAGCACTCCAACATAACACTATAAAACTGGCTTTCATTTAAGCAGCAATAAACACAGGTAGAAAAGAATGGAAACAAGATAAATGTGACACTCAAAGACAGGACACAGCAGTGTCTCAGCCTGTGGCCACGGGTGCCCCAAGTCCCTCTCCCCTGTCAGCAAGCATCACCTAATATGAAACTGAAGGGGGATGCAAGAGATTGCTCTTAAAAGAAACAAACCCACCATTTTATACAGCTGACAAAAATACAGTGCCTGTTACCTGCATTGCAAATCCCAGTCCCTATAAGCATAAAACAAAGTTAAAAAAAACCCAAATGTTATTGCAGTTGATCTGTTTTTTTTCTGAAACTATGTAGCATGCCTTAGGAGGTAATAAACGCAGTCCAGATTAGCAGAGTATTTCTGTGCATGTCCTTCTACCTCTGCAGCCCTGAGCTTAAACTAGATTAATCATAACCTCTATTAAAATTCACTAGCCAAGCTAACAGACAGTAGCACTTTGACAGAAGCTTGAATGGCTTAATTCATACCCTGAAAAGCCAAAAGCATCCTACAGAAAAATGTCAACTAATCACCACAAAATGAAACATGTGCCGATCACAGTTCTGCCTGTAGAAACCTGCGGCAGGTTTACCGGTCACGTAAAGCTTGCACCGCAGTGTCAGAATCTGGCCCTGAAAATTCCTTCAAGCCACCTTCACCTGCCCCAAACTGTTAAACCGCACGAGGAGACCGATGCTACATTTCACATACATCTTCCATACCTGTAGGACAACAAGTGCTGGTCGGGTCCGAGTCTTTTCCAAACTTGTCCTCCTGTGCTGGGAAGGAAACTCCCCATCCAAGTGTCAACTCCTGCCTCAGTCTCTGCCCTTTGTTTCCCCAAGAGCTGGAGACACACCTGTTTTTCCGTGTGTGCTCTTGGTTGTTGGGCTCGGGGTTTGTTTTTTTTTTGTTTTGCTTTTCTTTTTGGAACAAATTAAACAGCCTGTAAGCAATTCTCAGTAAGCGAGAGAGAGAACCTTTTGGCTTGTGGTGATTTAATCAAGCAAACCCCGTGACCTCCCTTTCCTGTGATCAGTGGGAACCGATCCCTTCTCCACCAGCACGGGGTGGAGTTCCAGCTAAAAAACACAAGCCTGAAAGCGCTGTGCTGGATGGGCAGGGCAGATCTTCCTTCTCTGTTTGTTGTGTCAGAGAACATGGTGATTCTTGCTGGTCCAAAACACGGAGATGACCTCTGGCCAGGAAGGAACCTGGGAAATATTTTCAAAGTGACTTCCTGCGGTGGGGGGGGAAGTGGGTGCAAGAGACACTTGGGTGGGGGTGCTAACGGAGCTGCTGGGGAGTGCAAGTTCAAGATGGGGAAAACACTTTTTCAGTTATCAGGGGTGTGGAAGTGAAAGAAATTACGTTTTTTTTCTAGGGCAAACTGTTCTAAGAGCCTCAGTCGTCACTATACACAGTGATCTGTGCTTCTCAGACTTTCAGCTATGGTGCCTTTCATGCTAAGGGGTGCTGAGATACTCTGCGAATTAATATAGGCGAGCCTTTCCACATGGAGCTCGTGCTCAGCAACACCCCAGCAATGCAGCTGTGGCACAGGGGCTCCTTGTCAAGGCACAGAAGAAATCTGGGCAGGCTCATGCATCCAGAAGGACAGCTACCCCTGCAGTAACCCCCAAACCGTGTTGTGCAGGTCCTGCTGCCTCACACTGGGGCTCCCAGAGTGGGATTTTGATGCACTAGCCAAAGGACTGCACCCCAGGAAGGTGGGGATGGTTCGCCAAGGCCCAGTGCTGGTTATGCTGATAAAATGAAGGACACTGTAATGGCCTCCTTGCTTTTGTCTCTCCTGGCTTTGCACCATCTCTGATGTTCTTGCAAAAAACCACACTACAGTACCGTGGCCCGATATCAACCCATCAGACGGCACAGGGGATGTGCAATCTGTGAAAAGTATTGCTTTCTGGAGGTATTGGCTTCTCCTTCTTGAGTGAAGAAGTAGCTGGCAACAGCTAGTCTCTCTGTGTTTCAGGGTCTGAGTGGGGTGTATCTGGACGATCTTTCTGAGGATGTCTTAAGATGGAAAATTGTATATAGGACTCCAGACTCTACAGCTAACAGCATCCTTCTTTCTGGACACAACAAGAATTTATTCTAGGAACCTGATATCTCCACTCAGGATCACTTTTTAGTTACTCTACCATGATCCAGTTCATACCATAAAAGCAAGAAGGGACATATGGACATTTCACTGCCGAATACACCTCACTTCCATGCTTACTGATATACACATTTTTGCACAGAGAAGGAGAGAAAGAGACAGAGGGAGCCTGGGCTATGTACCCCATCTTTATGTGCTTTCGATTAATGAGTGTGATCCATATTTCCTATTTATCTCCTTCTGCCAGCTGGGATGAGTAAAATATGATGGCTGGGACATCTAGGAAAGAAAATGCTGCTGCATTGATTAGAGTGACAGAATGATTATTTCTTTAAAGTAGAGCACGTGAGTAATTATTTTTTAAAGTCTATAGAAAGCGCTCGTAGTATATTTATTGTTGAGTCTTGTTTTCCTGACTTTTATTCCCATCTATATTGTGGTTCGCTGGTGGGTTTGTTGGTGGGTGTAAGATGGTTTCCATCCCCATGGTAGTTTCCAAGGTTTCAGAACTGTTCCTGTTCAAGATAAGCTGAAAATCTTCAAGAAAGCCTGGGGCAGATTTTGCTGTCACATTGGGAACCGGAGAGAAATGGGCACTCTAGAGAACGGTTAGATAAATATCTAAAACAGCTCAGAAGAAAGTACCTAAATTGGCTCAGACTAGAGATGCTTAGTCTCTCTGTTGACTTAATGGGAGCCTTGAAGACTAGCTCAGGAGCAGGTATCTACATTGCTGTCATTTCCAGTGAAGTGAGAGGGACACTACTCTTTGTGGAAAGAGCTCGCTGCAATCTATGTGTCATTATATTATGCAAAATGGAATGGCTCTTTGGTCTTCAAGATAAGAGCTGACAGGCACGGTTCAGCAACAGCATCATCCAACAACAAGTTGATTTACCAGAGTGCAGACTGATGCTTAGGCTGGACACACAAATTTTGAAGAGAACGAAGAAAGCCTGAACTCTTGATATTTGAGCAGGCATGAGTAAATGCAAGCTATGCCTAGGTTTGGATTAATCTGGTTTAGAGATTAGGAAAGGTTTGCAGGACCTCAGAAGAGTCCTATCATCTTTTTTCCTATATCCTGTGTTCTGTCTTTGCATGGCAAAACTTAATCAGTTTGTACAGCACTGAGCACTGTGGGGCTCTGAAGTTGGCTGGGGCATCTCAGTACAACTATATCCAATATAAAACATTAAATGCCATGGGTCACTAGAAGGGTGATGTAGCAGGTATCTCACAAGCCTGTCCTGTCATCAAGGAGTGTCATGACCATCAAGTGAACTGCACTGCTCTAACGTGCACAGGGACAGCAAAGAGATATTTCTGTTGTCCTGGTGATCCTGGCAGAGAGCAAAGAATTAGCCTTTTCTCCTAACAGGGACAGCAAATCCTGATTCACTTTGTTGTAATGTGCTGAGAAGGAAGGAAGTAATGAAATGTCTCATTATACATCTGACTTAAGTAATATATTTAGAACTGCCAGTAGCGCTGAAGGCTGCATGGTTTCATACCAAAAGGAGCGACATGCTCTGGACTGTCTCACTGCAGCCAGCGGTCAACTGAAACTATTTATCTGCATGAATAAGGTCCCTGAAGATTGCTTTTTTTCCTGAAGCACCAGGAATTCATTAATTCAGGTATTTGGAGTACTTCAGTTGTACACTGCCACTGCCCAGCTTTATGGGTTTCTTTTAGGTTTAAGTGACTTGGGTTTATATTGTGTTTTTTTAGGCTAATGACCACATTCTATGAATTTCATCATAGGAGAATTATAACTACAATAATGTGTAATGTAATCATTTTGTTGAGAAAGCACAAAATGCTAAATGGCTATTTAATCTTCTAGAGAAAAACCACAGAAAAAGCAAATGTGGGAAACTGAAGCCGGACAAATCTAATTTAAAAGCAAAGGCCATATTTTATTAATCCCAGCAATCAACCATACATGCAAACTTCCATGCGATTCACTAATACTTGACACATTCGTATCACAGGTGGCTGCTTTCCTACATGAGGTGGTTCATTTTTCATTAGTGGGCTTAGACAGAGATACAGCTATTTGGCATCCCTAATACAGGACCTGCTCTTTCAGACTTTAGACTTGCTGAAGCTCTTCTATTATTAAATTAGAGATCTGGGTGCTTTACCGGACTGTGGTTTCAACAATACTTTTTGTCTGGGGTTATATAAAGCTTCATGTGCTAAAAGCAGTATTGACAATAAGCAACCAAGGGCCTTCATAGCTGATAGGAAATCCCAGGGCAGAAACCCAGGCCAAAGTAGGGACTTCGGCAGAACGATGGCAAACTCATTGAACTCTTGTGAAAACCAATAGAGGAAGTGGAAAACGCCTGTAACTGGTCGCCTTTGTGTTCATGCGATTGTTGGATTTCCCCTAACAGAAAACACGCAGCAATTCCTCCAGGGATTTTTGAGTCCCTACCCACAAATCACAACCCACCCATCCCTTTCTGAAACTTCAGGCAGCTTCCTTCAGGTTAGCTGGGCCCCGTTTAAAATGGACCGTTCCAGGCAATGGCCTGTTTTCCCATACTTTCTTCTGACAATGAACAAAGAAGGAAATGCTTTTTAATGGTGCATTACCAAACAGAAGTTATCACCTGAGGGGTTTGGGTGTGGAGAGCTCTGCAAAGCTGTATTCTACATAACATGGGGCTTAAGGGCTCCATACAATGCAGTGTGCTGTGGAATTCCCACTTATTATTGCAATTATGTGCACATAAAGGTTATTAATAGAAGTAATAGTAACAACACAGAGAAGCCCAGCAGTCAGAAGGATACCTTTGTGTTGAAGGTGTATGGACCCAGAGCTCCTGCTCCAAAGAGCAGGACAAGTAGTAGCTGAAGATACACAGATGGGACAGGACAGGGACACAAGGAATGGTCCTGGTGTGTCAAAGGGACGAGCTAGGACAATGCTCAGGCTAGACAGACACCAGCAGAAGGAGATGGAAGAATGTTGTCATCATCCAGGTGGTGCCATCAGTGAGGTGGCCAGAACCCAGGTGGGGAGAGAGGGAAGAGGATATCTCCTGGAGCTGGAATCAAGCAGAACCTGCAGGATTTAGGCAGGACATGAATGGGAGCTCCTGAAGAGTCAAAGCTCCAGTAGTGCACAGACTTTGGCATGGGAGTGACCTCATGCACATGAAGAATTCAGCTGGGATTGCTTTCAGGGCCAAGACCTTTCTTTTGAAGTCTGGTCAACGTGGCACATAGTCCAACATGGTGGGGAAGTTGATGTGTTAGATTGTGACTTAAAAAATGGTATTCTTCTCCTGGGGCATGGGGAGGGTATAAGGAAAAAGCTCCAGGACCTTTTCTTCTCATCTTGTCCCCATGACAGGCACAGAAGTGGAGAGATGGACTATATGTATACTGCCTTTTCTTATGTTCTCATGCTCCTTTCACTTAGTATTCTATTTACTTAGTACTCAATTTATTTACAAGAGGGAGGAAGCCTTATGTAGGTAGGCGTTAGGATAATAAACTTGCCTAGAAGAAGTGGATTTAAAATCCTTGCTCTGACAGCAAATGTCATATATGATATTAACGTACAATACCTTGGGCAGGTCCTCCAAAGTGTTTTCTGTGCTTATGAAGGTGAAGAAAAAGGCATCTGCTATCTGTGGGAGGCTCCAAGGTGAAAGAATAGGGGCTGTACAACTGCTACTGATTCACGTTTAATGCGTGCTGGCTGAAGTACATGTCAGTGGGTTGCACGTATATTTAGTTCATGGATTTGCATATCCTTTCCAATGAAAAGAGACCTTTCGACCCAGTCAGTACATGTTTATGCATCATGCTGGTTACTGGTAAAGAGCATTCTGGTCATACAGCTGCTTCCCAGTCACCCTTCTGCCCTAAATGTCCATCAGCTCACTGCAAATCCTGAACAGGCATGAGACAGCAAAGGTCAGATCCCTCCATGAGAGCTGTGGATTCACCGCATGGATGACTAGAGGTAATTGAGCCCAAAGAAAGGCAAATGCAAAAAGGATTTATGAATTCCAGCTTGC